ACCACTCCATGATCTTTGACTCTCATCTTACAGAATCATAGTGTATCACTAGTTCACACTAGGTGGTGGATTCATCATAAGGTTTTGACTTCTAGCATGACCATAACTATCATTTAATCCCATGAGGAATTGCAACAGTTGTTGCCTACCCATACTATCCACATATTCCTTTGATTTGTACATTCATATGAAGAAGAAGGGACTATAGATTCAAAATCATCCCATAGGTCTTTTAATCTCGATTTATATACAGAAACAGGGGAAGTACCTCGAGTGAGTGTGACGATGACATTGTGAAGATGAAACTCTGGACATGTTCACCTTATCAAATCGTTCCTTTAGATCGGATCATACCTAGGCCGCATATGAATGAAACAGGATTCCACTTACGAGCTCCTTGCTAACATTGCTTATGATCCACGATATGACCACAACATTACACCTATCCTGTTGCTTTTTTTCAATATCATCTTTAAAATCATCTCTCTAGATGCTGCCATCGATGAATCCTAATTTGTTATACGATAACAAATCCAATTTCATTACACGAATCCACAAGGTACATTTCTTCATTCCAACTAGATGAATTCTACTCTGCACAACTCCTGGTACATCGGAAGAAGAAAGATATAAAGTATGATCAGAATCGATCTTCTTTGTCATGGTTCTGCGACTTGAAGGTATTAAATAATTGGATCTAAAATAGTGATTGTTTTGATACCATGTTAAACTGCACAATAATAACACATTCAGAGCTGAACTATTAGGAAAATTGATCACTTCATTTCATATCAAAGGAGTACACAACTCTACAATCAAAACCTACAAACTTCTCTAGACTAATGAATACATATCATATATTATCATAAGTGGAAAGATCTCAACTTCAAATTTGAATTACTATTTAGACGTTGCAATAAATTAAAAAGTAATTAAATTTTTAATTAATTAAATAATATTATTGAACAACATTTTCTGACAATTAATTTAAAAGTTAATAAGACTTAATCAAAATGTTAATTAATTTGAAAATTAGAAAGACTTAAATCACTTTATTAGGAAATTTGAAAGGATGCATGAAAAATGAAAAGAGTGTAATCAGATATGTACAAAATTTAAAGGGTTACATCACTATAAACTAGCTTATATCCTTCATTGTATGGAATCTAAATGGCCACATCAGTACCACATACACTCATATTCATTATTTAGATTTGAATTTTTACAAAGAGAAAGTTTTCTACGCTAGATGGAATTTCAAAGAATGAACCATCATAGCTTCTTGGACAAATATGCTTAGATGCTTAGTGGCTTGATTAGAGAATTACGATTTGAGATATCAGGATCAATATATGAAGAACAAACTCCAGAAGATGAATCACCAGTTGCTATTTATTCATGGTGATATTATTACAAATTTGGCATATGACTGAAAACATCTACCATGATGATTACATGTATGGAGATAATCTCTCCCCAACACCATATGGTCCTAGGATACTAATATATATATATATACATACATACATACATATATATGTGTGTGTGTGTGTGTGTGTGTATACACACACACAGATATATATATATATATGTATGTATTCCTTAGGAGGGTAAGGTAACAACTGTTTTTCTCTTTTAACATTTTCATATATGTATTTAGCCAATAAAGATTGAGCCAAATTTTGTTTTCATTTAAATGTGTAATATACACGTGCAAAGCACGTGGCGAGAACTACTAATATATATATACACACTAACTGGCCTAATTACAATGTAAAAATATCTTCTACAAGTAACAACCTTCAAACTAACTTTCACGTTAAATCTAATGCCAAGTTAACTGATTAATAGTGACGACACAGTTACTTGTTCAATTAGTCTGTTCCAACTCAATTGTTTGCAATCTCCTTGTTATATTCTGATAGGTAAACATGATATGTATATTTGAAGAGTGACAAAGATTGCATCATGAAACAAGTTTAGCAGAAGTGATCTGTATTTAAGAAGATCACTGGCAAAAATGATGTCTAAGAAACTCTGATTTTGTCTTGGTCAAACATCTGATAAATCAAGTACTTTTGTCGATTAGTCTCATCTCATGGCAACTCCGAACCAGGTTACTAGAGCGGTACCGCGAGAACTAGATGAAGGTCTACTTGCTAGGTCCACTAAGAAGTCATTTGCCAAGAAACGATTAAGCAAGGCAAGCAAGGCTGCTGATGATAAATGTTAGTACGTTCAACGAAATGCAACACAGTGTAGCTACAAAGGCTTGTTTTGGTGCTTGGTTCTATCTTAAAGTTTTTTTTGTCTTATCTCTAAAGGGGGAAGCAGTGTTGCAAACACATATTACTTACTTGCATGTTAGTTGCAAGCAGTTGAATTCTCCATGGTCAAAAAGGGGGAATTTGTTGTTTAAATCTCATTGTTTTGAACTATGGTAAAAGCATGAAGAACAGGTAGTAAAAACTTGGTCCAACAGTTCAACTTTAAACAGGATTTCAGCAAACTTATTTAAGGAAACCTGATGTATGTTTTCCTGAGGCGGTGGCTAACTAATTAACGAAAATGTGTTTTCTTAATTAAAAAGGAAAAATTGCTGGAAGAGTTTATGTGTCCAAATCAAATACAAAATAGGAGTTTGACGAGAAGAAAGTTTTGAGGAAGGTTTTTTTATTTAATTAAGGAAAGGTTCTGTGGAAGTATATCACCTAATCTAAGTTGAATTAACAAAAGATTACGTGTTGCAGCAGCAAGGGTAGAAACCTACCCAAGTTGTATTCTACAAAGTCTTGATGCGGTAAAGTTAAAGTTGAAGAATGAGTTGAAGATGCGGCGAAGACGAGTTCCGCATAATGTAGGAATCCTACGCATGAGCTTCTAAGTTTCATGAGAAAAGGAAGCAAAGCACAAGTAGGATTTCTAGTTGAAATAGGTTTTGGATTCAAGTCCAAATCTATAAATAGCGCAATAGATTTGCTTGAAGAAAATTACGCACTTACATAGAGAGAAAATCAAAACACTAACAAGAGGTTTAAAAGAGTTTTGATATTAACTTAGGAAGTGTTGCGAGTTAAGTGAGAAGTTCTAAGATTGTATTCAAGAGTCTTATTTACAATCTGAGTTTTCTGAGTAGGAGTTGTTCGACAAGTTGTAGAACTTGAAGAACATTAGAAGTTATAAAACTGGGGGTTGTGTCTTTGGGTAGCTAGAAATTAGAGTTTATAATTTCTTAGCTAGGAATTAGAGTTTATAATTCCTCTAGGAATTAGAGTTTATAATTCCTCAGGTTACAGCTTTGTAATCGTTGTATTGTTTGAAGTTTATAAATAATACAAAGTATTGTTCGAATTGATTATCGTTAAGTTTCAAACAAATAGAAACACGTTATCTGTGCGTGTTACTTTGAAAAATTTAGGAGGGTAGAATTCCAACATATTCTCTAATATATTATAATGTGTTGGAGGAAGTATGGAAGAGACATAGAAAAAGTGCAGAACAAATGAGAGAATGAGAAGTTGGGCACACGAAGGGAGAGTGTGTATTAATTGACGGAGGATTATTGGTGGTGACGGTAGGGAAAAGGTACGTTGTTTAGGCAGTAGGAGGTACGACTGTTTGGAGGGGAAGTGTATTATCATAATTAAGTTAATTAAAAGGAGAATTTTGACATGTGGTGACGCTACGTACGCGGGCATAGAATTCTCTTTCTTTTATATATATTGAAAATGTGGCTAAAGGATCCTACTAAATGTCAAAGTAGTTACATTTTGAAAATTTTCCCTAAAGAGTAAAATTTTCATATTATATGAGACGTAAGTACTTGGTTTTAAATACAGAAATTGTATCTCATAAAACAAAGATTTTTATTATAATATACTCTTATTATAAATAAAAAATAAAAATAACCTTCTTATGAACTCAAAATAGTAAACAAGAAATACTCACGACATATTTTATATCTTTATTATCATAATTTGGCTTATTTAATATTCAATAAAAGTAATACTAATATATATGCCTAAAATTAATTATTTTTGTAATGTATAAGATATTTCAATCACTGAGTAATTACTTAAAATAATTTTATTAGGAAATTACTCACATTACTTATTTCAATGACAATATTATTTAATACCTAAGTACTATAACTCATTAGATGCATTAAATTAGTGTAAATACTAATTTTAAAAGATGGTCATTAGATGCATTAATTAGTGTAAGCACTATTTAGCAAATGAAAAATAAGTAAATCATTATTATTATCTTTACAACTATTAATTGAAGTTAAAGGGACAGTCATACAATGTCCTATTATATATCAACATAAAAGGAATTTCCTTTGATATAAATACACTTTCATATTTATATTTTTATTAAAAAAAATTAGTAACTATTGTAACGACATAATCAAACGGAAAAAAGAAGCAATAAAGTTCAAAATTGTCATTCGTGTCAGATTTCGATTCCTAAATATATGTACTTAGCGAGTTCGATACATGAGTCAAAATTAGATATAATTTGTTCATATACACTATATTCAAGTGGGTTCGCATCTATCTAACTCTTTCACTCGCTTCTCTCCTATTTCGCTCGTCTCTCTCCCCCTCCCTCTCTCGCTTGCCTCTTCCCCTATGTATCTGCACTTCTTCAGAGTATATCAGACGTGAATTTGATATGAAATTATTAATTAGTGAAATAAGATATAATTATGTTAAAATAGAAAAAATTTCTATAGAAATATTTCTCTAATTAGATTGTTTTTCGTTTTTTGTTCCATCCAAAATGTGAAGAGGGTATTAATGTTTCTTAGACCCACAAAATGTGATTCTTTTATGACAAATCATTAAAAAAATAATTAGATTCAGATCTATTAATACTGTGTTTGTGCCGTTGGATTTTGCTTTTTCCCCAACAATTCAACTAGCCGTTAATCATTAATTAAACGGCTAAATACATTATCAAATCACTTATTTAAATACTCCATCTTTCTACCTCCACAATCACTTACAATTCTAAAATCCATTCAAAATTTCAAATTTCTTCATCAAAATTCAATTCAATGGGTGCTCTTCCTATCATTAGTTCAACTGAGTTCAAGTCTCACTGTCATCCATCTCATCAAATATTTCGTCTAGCCAATTACATTCTCTTAAGTGCATCGTCTAGTTGTATCTTCCTTACCCTCTCTTTACGCCTAATCCCATCGTTATATGGTGGCCTTTTCATCCTCCTCCACATTCTCACAATCGCGGGTGCAGTGCTCGGTTGCACGGACACTGCAACCCTAGCGGGGTCCAACAATTGGTATGCCATACATATGATATCTACTGTTTTAACCGCAATATTTCAAGGATCGTCTTCTGTACTTATTTTTACAAAGAGTTATGACTTTTTAGGAGAATTAAAGTCATATGTTAGAGAAGATAATGGTGTTGTAATTTTGAAATTGATTGGTGGATTGTCTATTTTGATATTTTGCTTGGAATGGGTTGTTTTGTTATTGGCATTTATTTTAAGGTACAATGCCTTTGTGGAAGGGAATAATAGTACAAATTCTAAACAAGAAGAGACTTTGAAAGGCTATCCTTGTCCAATCCAAGTATAATATTTCAGAAAGGCAACTTGATACACAAAATATATTTCGAAATGGAAGGGTCGATGTAGATACAACTTACTCCAACATATTTCATATTGGTGCAAGTTGTTTCCACAATTTGAATACGTGATTTATAGGTCACACACGAAATAATTTTATCATTATTCCAAAGCTTCATGTAAAAGTATAATATTTTGAATTTACTTTATTTGGATAGAATCACCATGTTCCAAACCTTGGAGCTCTATGGTGAATTATTTATTTCTTATTAGTTTTGTGTTGATGTTCAAAATTTTCTGAATTGAGTTTTACTAATTGCAATTGAGCTCTTTATTTAATTTTTATTTTCTTAATTTGATTTGATAGTTTTATTAAATATAACTTTTAGTATTTCGCTCATTAAATATACGAGCAAAGAATAATAATAATAATGATAAAATATATAAATAATACGAGAAAATATTCTCCGAAGAATCTCGATAGTAAAATGACAATGTCTTTGATGATTTGTGGTCCAATTCTTTTATGTCACGTTCGATTCTCTTTGTGCCCTTTTGGAGTATCAGAGGTCATTAACGAATAGAAAGACACATGTAGATTTTATACATTTATTTAGGTAATAATTTGATAGAAGTGTTCGTATCAAATTAATACAATTTATCATAGTCAATAATAAAGTGATTATAATAAAATACATATTTAATTAATTATGATAAAATAAAAATAAAAACTTTATATTGGAGCACTAGATCATGAATTTTGTTTCTATAACAAAAATTAAATTATTATACGTGAAAAGGAGATATATAAATAGCACCCAAAGAATGTGTTTGATGCTTTTCCATCTACTATAAGGGTATTTTTGACATTTATTCGTATTATTGCTAAATATGTCTTGTAAATTGAGTAATCAAAAGTTTTACCCTTATTTCAATTGTCGGAAAAACCAAATGAGATTTTATTAATCACACTTATGTCCCTATTGCAATTATGGCCATTATATTTTTGCCCTGGCCTTTTCAATTTTATTAGAATAGTATCTTGTACTCCCCTAGTTCACAATAATTGATTTTTTGAACATTTTTTTTATATATTCAATATAACTTAATTATTGAATATCAAGAAAGTTGTAGAAAATTTCTTCTATTTTTATTCTTTAGTTACATTTTCTAAGTGATAAAGTTCAAAAGAGTTATATTGTTCGTACTTATGGTTTTATTCACTATTTCTATTTACATAAATAGCTTGAGAATAACTAAAAAGGTTAAGTGAAAAGTGCTGATCAAGTGTGTCCTAATTTTTTTTTCTTAATTATCTCACAAATTCACTTAATATGGATTAAAGAGTAAAAGAAATAGAGCTATTGAAGTGACAAATACCTCAATTATTTTATATATATTCACTACGTTTCAATTTATATGACATAATAAAAATATTGAGAGTCGATACAAAAAAATTAACAATAAAATCTTACTAGAAAAAATGTCAATAAAAATTATACCGAAAGAAAAAGGATACACATATTTACTAATCCATATTTGTTGTCCCTCTACCTAAAAAAAATCTTCTCATGAAAATCTAATAAGATAATTAAATAAAGTTAAAGTTAACGAAAAAAGAGTGCAACATTTGTTTAGTTTTTGCGATTAAAGCATTGCTGAAATTCTGAGATAATATACTGTGATTTTAAATATTAACATGATACTTTATGTTGAGATTGACGATCAAGTTTATCAAATCATTATTTGAACGAATTGGTAGATCACCTATGTCGTCATTCTCTTTATAGAATTAACTTGTCATCATATAACATTATTTAAATCACGTCAAGTACATCTTTATTTTTGCTTGCTTTATAAACTATTATCATTGTGTATATCAAGTAAAATAACATGGTATGACAATAGTAAAAATATGAACATATCAAATATTTTATTCGTTTTTGTTTAAACCATTTTCCACCTACCTCTCATTTACCACTTCTAGTAGTGCCAAACTTCTTTTCTAATTTTACTAATTTTAGGATTGTACCCTCGAGGTCTAAATGTGTATGGAGGGTTTTGTACCTTCTACAAATTTAGCTAACTTGCAAAAATAGTCTTAAGTTTTTAGATGAATGACTCAATAATTAATTTTATTTAAGTAGTACATATTTAGGAGAATAAAATTGGTAGCTATATCTTTTACTAATAAACAAATCATTGATAGAAAATATCTTAATATATAATGCGTAACAACTAATAGAACTATTATACCTAAAGCCAACTTGAACTCACCGAAACAAAGTCGTATAAAAACAGTAGGCTGTTTCTTCAATTATTTGTGGACCAACTCTTTAAATAGCTACCTTCAATTTGTTTTATGCCCTTTTGTGGTGTGATAGGTCATTTATGGCCAAGACAAGATACAGGGTTGGCATCTGATTCATTTGATTGGTACAAGATAATTCTTTATGTTATATATATAAAAAAATATCCTATGATTCATTATAAATATTATTGGAAATATTATATATAATGACAAATTAATAAATCAAATTAATTAATTGCTATAATTACCTTTTAATTTAATTGTGTTTCGTAGCTAACTGTTTGTCACTCTCTTCTCTCGCTCGCTTTCACTCACTTTTTGTCACGACCCAAATCGAGCTGTGAGTGGCACCCACACTTATCCTACTATGTGAGCGAACCAACCAATCCGAACCCCAATATTTTAACCATAATAGACAGAATACAATGCGGAAGACTTAAAACTCATTAATAAAAATAGATTAATAACTTCTAAAACTCAAACACTTGTTATTATCCCCAAAATCTGGAAGTCATCATCACAAGAACATCTATCCTTAAATTACTAAAGCTAAGAGTATCTAAGAAACTAAACATAAATAATGGCTAGTCTATACCAGAACTTC